GTTTCGAGTTACGTCGTTCCCGATTATACGTCGCTTGTTAAAAAAGTATATGGAAAAATAAAAATCAAGTTTAAGTCATTTTATTCGACTTTACGTCTGTCCGCCACAAATATTGAAGTCGTAATATCACTAGATAAACGTTTAAAGCACATAAAATCATATTAAAATATATACAAGTATGTACTGTATTTACAGTACACGCATTCGTAAATTTAGATTACTTTTTTTGTACTATATTAAAAACTAAAATTTATTTGTTTGTAAGCTTAAAATAGATTTTTATTAACCATATATTATTTAAAATGCTTTCCTAGTGATAAGTAGATTCGGAGACAGGTAAATTCGACTTACGTCGTTTTTCGACTTACGTCGTTTTCCTGGAACCAATTACCGACGTAAGGCGAGGTATACCTGTAGTCGCAAACCCAGATGCATTGTAAATAATCCCATCGTGCTTAACGAAATACGCAACCGAGTGAGTATGACGTATTTCCGCTCGCCTTTCGAGTTCGCTCGAAGGGTCTAACTCGAGACTACCGATTATGTGAGTCACAGTAACACGAGTGAGTTCGATGACGTCAGTTCGAGTACAACACGAAAAACTCGAGACTAAGGGCCCTGGAGAGACGACGACATCTGTCTATTATTAGATAAATGGCAAGAAAAAGTGTTTATTTCTAACCAAAACTTCCATTTTATTTGTTGGTGTTTGTGACTTATCGCGTAGTTACGTCAGTTTTATGATCGCGTGTAATAGCCAGGTTCTTCTCGAGCGGACTGCCTGTGCGAACAGTACGACGTTCGACTAGCGACAGTCACAATCCAGATTGTAGGTAAATCGAGATCGAAGTGAGTCGTGGATTGGGTGCGAACGTAGTATTACGGAATTGTGTTCGTTCTCAAAACCCGTTCGATCTGTTTTGATTGAACTTTGCCAATTTCCATTAATTGCGACCAGGAATCCAAAAATGTAATAAAAAATATGGGGGTCTACCAATTCCTTTTCGAGATATTAGTTCGCAACACGAGCGTGCGCGACAAAGCGATATCTCTTCGTTAATATCCTAGAAAATTTACACCTATAAAATCTAAATTTTATTAAGAATTTATTGGTATGGACAATATTTAAATCGCCGTAATTTCCATTGATAATTTAATGATAATTTTGTATTGCGTGAGGAGATGGAAAACACGAAGTGATTGTTTAGCATTATTAACCGATCAAAATTTTACTTTATTCACTGTTACAAACTTTCAGCAGATTTATTAGTTATTTTAAGAATTTTAATGGAGAAATAACTTTGTAAACGCATGTTCTGTCGTGTTTTGAGTCACTTACAAGTTAGTATCGATGCGAACGACGTGAAACAGTCAAACGCCAAGCGATTGTTTGGATAGACAATATTTTATTTACCAATATTTAAAACGGCTCCGTAATTCATATTTATATTTATCCTTAATTAAAATGTTTTTTGTGGTAACTGATGGCGAGAAGTTAAATCCGCTTGAGAAAGTTTCGACAAATTGAAAGCTAGTGGCTCCTTTATTTAAGATCTGATGAATTTTAATAGGTACTGTATACGATACGCGCGGAATTATTCTTTCAATTGTAGAAGGCGCTTTAATTAATTATTTATTAGTTATTTTATAATATAAAGACGTATACTTTAAAATTAAAATTGTTAAATGTTTATTTCAATTTAATAATAAATAAAAATCACGTAAAACATGAATAAAAACCGTACCAAAAGAATTAAAAAGCGTAAAATCAATTTAATCTTGATTAATGGGAACTTTATCATCTTTAGACGTCGGTGGCGAAATAAATTTATCTTCGGGTTGTTTGTAATTATCGAAGGAATGAACTCCCCAGGGCTGAAGTTCGGCCGTACCAAAAAGGACATAAATAGTATTTGTCAAAATATAAAGACCCGCAGTAAAATAATAAATAATACTCCAGTTTTTAACCGTTTGCTGAAAGAGACCAAAATAGTTTCAAATTAAAATTGTCATACAGAAGTAATTTTCAAATTCTATTGAATTTAATTTAACCTTACCTCATGCTCTGTTAAATATCCAATAAATATAGGAGCTAAAAATCCTGGAATTGCTGCAATCGTAGCCGTTATTCCAACTAAAGTCCCTAATTAAAATTAAATATTTAACATCGTTTATGTTGATTCCATAAATATTTATATTTTACGCAATTAAAAGAAGACGTAAATTTATGTAGATTCTTAAAATTTAGATTGTTTCAATTTTATAAATTTTCAGTGTTTCAATAATAGTAAACACGCCTGACGCTTTATTTGTGCATATTTAAACCAAATAAAAATGCTTTTATACATTAGCAAATAGCATTAATTCAGTAAAAGTATTTTAATATTTATATAACTAGAAAATATATTATTTAAAAGAATCCGATTTTTCGACACTACTTATAAATTCCTTTTTTAAACCAAAAGATCGTTTCTATTTTTTTTTAATTTTCTATAAACGAATTTCGAATTTGAACTTCACGCAAATTATTTTGGATGGGATATCTACAGAATGACAATATTTAATATTTTAATAATAAAATATATTGTAAAATATTTAAATCGTGTAGGATACATTTTATTAGGACATTTTTATTATAATTTTACCTGCAAAATCTGGTGCTATATCTATAATAGAAACAAAAAATCCACTGTTGATAAATCCGTTAAGAGACATGGCTAATGTGAAAAACGAGATACTGATTAGATGATCGCATCCTGCCTGAACCACTCCAATTAAGCAAAGAGCTGTACCGATATAACCTTAAAATAAAAACGTTTACATTTCCATATATTTTCATAATATAATTTAAATTTTAAACTAAATACCTGTATATAATTTATGCAGACCTATTGTATTACAAGTTTTCCTGACGACATTCAGTCTGGCATATCCGTTTTTATACACGTAATCGGCCACAAATCCACAAAACCATCCGGTGACCGATTGAAATAAGTAAGGAATGGCAGAAAACAATGCATTCTAAAGAGTAAGTATAAAAACTTTTTTAAATGAATAAAATATACACCTTATAAGAAAACAAGAACATGTTTAGTCACTAACTACATAAAGACAGAATCAGAATGTCATAATTATAGTTAATGCTTTTCCATTCTTTCTTCTTCGACCCAGTCAATATTAATTTACATAATTATTAGGGGCACTTTGTACTTACTCCCTCGTCCCAAGATCTTCGCCCATTATTACCAATATATGAGGAATTGTGTAATTTCATCGTTTTATATTTGTTTATACAATACAACCTCAGCGGAAGAGTGTCGGATTAAGAAGATTATTAAAAGTAAGTGTATTTAATGAGTATGGAAAGAAAACATTTCTTTATTTGCATGTTATTACTTCGTTGTATTAAGTCGGACGACTGATCGAAACATCCGAGCGCTGCCATCGCCGATAATCGGGTTGCCAAGTTGGTGTATTCTCACTAAATTTAGTGAGATATTGAAGGGACCATAGGAAATTTAATGGGAGACTCAGTATTTTTGCTGGGATATTTCGGGGGACTGATTTTTATGTTTATAAACTATTGTGTTATAAGATACTGGACCCTTTTAAAGCATCCTGAATTGACGAGTCTAACGATCTTTAACATTGTGCTTAAGCTCGATAATATCCCACATTTACCAGGAAAGTGTTAAAATTTAGTGTGAACTGCAGTATGATCTAACGGAAATCATATCTACAACTTGGCACAGTGCCAGTAATATCCGACTAGTGTTGGATTACTGGACGACTAGCGAACGGCCAGATTACAAAGATTGTACTGTAATTTTCATTGTAAAATCAGTTTTGTGTAATAAACAGAAAATACTTTAATTATTTATGAGTCTGATTTTTATATTATCGTCTTTCTTAAACTCAAATGCTAAATCTGTGTATTCATTTCATCACGAGCACTTCAGAATAAGAAATTATTTAAGTTTAAAAAAAATTAAATTTTTTTTAATCTTAAAAATTTTCTATTACAAAATATAACAATATATATACAAGGTGACCCAAAAAGAACAGTTAACCCAGACCGTACTTTAAAAATACTTAACACGCATTTGTTCAAACCGATTTTATTATTTGTGCTTTAGTCTCTTACATGAAATGATTTTTGGGTCATATTGCATACATGTAAGGTATACATATACGTATAATAATTTTAAATAACCTGCTGTATGTCGTAGTGTAACACAGCACTCAAATACGTCGGTAATTCGGTTAGAAGCATAAGAAACCCCCATCCTTGACCAAAGTGCGTAATGGCTAAAATCCAGACCACTCTAGATTTCAAAATAGGTATCCAAGGAACCTAAAATTAAATCATACAAGAAATAATTGTTATACAAAATTGTAAACATTTTTTAAAATGTTATAAATACGATATGATTATTGTTATATATTACTTTTTTAAGATGCTCCTTTTTATATACGGATTCGAGTGGTCTATTAGGAATAAAAATAAACCAAAATACCGTCCAAACGCATCCTAAACCACCTGAAATAGAAATAGAAAGTAGCGAAAATAATTTAATAAATAGAAGCGAATATAATTAACATAGGCCTATGTATATTTTAGATGTCTTTACCGAATACGTAAAAGACTGCCGGCCATCCTCCCAAAAATTCCGAACTGCAGAAAATTCCCGAAACGGGTAAAGAGACGACGGTTCCTATTAAGGCGCCGCTATAAATGAACGTCGATGCAGTACTTCTCTGAAATTTCGGTATTCTGCTCCCAATTAAATAATGCATTGCGGGACACGTAATTCCCTATTTTTAAATTTTAAATACAGTTTTATGAGATAAACGAAGTAAGCGATTAAATAATTGATACTTAATTAATTATCCCATTCATTTCCCTCCGCAGTGCTCTGCGGGGCGGAGGTGTATTCTGATTCCCGAAAGGGGAAATGATTTTCCTAATTAAAAAATATCCCATTCATTTACTGCCAAACGTTCTTATTTGAAAATTATCTGAAATTTGTGACGAAACTTTCATCGAAATGATCCGGACCAATACCTTTAGCTTGACTCTTTAGGATTTGGGTTGGAAAAAAGTCTTCTTAGTACTTACAAGAAGAAAAGGAATTAAAAATACCCGGTATATCAATTGAAATTTTTATTGGAAAGCTTAATCTCTCGTCGGAATTTTAAATTTTTTTGTTCAAAAAATTGCATTCGCCAAAGTCATAAATAAGCCCGACGAGCGTGATTTATCTCAAATACAATTTGGGAAAAGGGTTTCTTATATTCTTCTCCATGATTTGTATAGTACATGATTTTACCATTAATATTATAAATAATATTGTTATCTCTTATTCTTCAAAAAAATTATTACTTATAAAACGCTGATCTAATTTTTTATACCAGACCTACTGCCGATAACGTAATGCATGAGCTACTCAGCGAGGGGCAGGGAGGGACAGCTGTCCCCCCTGCCCCTCGCTGGGTGTAATTAAGAAAAATTAAAGTGCAGTAATTAACACACAGACAAACAGCACAGACGTATCAATTTCAATAATGAATATTGTGACTAGATTAGAGCCATCTGTCGTGAAATCTCACTCTCCCTCTCCGCTTCCTCGAAACTACTGAGTTGCCCTCCTCTAGTTCAGGTCCTGGGTACGCCTCTGGTGATGCCTATTGTTAATTCGTATTACGTATCGAGAAAGTTCTCGCGTTCGTTTTTTGAATAATTGTTTAATTTTCTGCAATTTCTTTTATTTTATTTTATAATTTTAACGATATTTTGAAGCGAATGCTTTTGTGGTAAGACGAAAATCTTTATTAAACTTGTGTCTTGAGGTACGAGTCTGAAAGGCGAACTATTTCATCTAAAATCTAATCTAATTTTCAACTGTTCTCAAATATTTTATATAGTACATCTGATAATTAAACTGTATAATTGCCGTACGTTAAAACAAATGCAATAAATAAAATTTTCAGTCTAGGCCAGTTAAAATTGTTTTATCTTATGTGTTTGGTTAGCACAATGTTGCTGTTGAGAACGTATCATACAGGAACACTTTAAGAGAGCATCCTGAATTGACGAGTCTAACGATCTTTAACATTGTGCTTAAGCTCGATAATATCCCACATTTACCAGGAAAGTGTTAAAATTTAGTGTGAACTGCAGTATGATCTAACGGAAATCATATCTACAACTTGGCACAGTGCCAGTAATATCCGACTAGTGTTGGATTACTGGACGACTAGCGAACGGCCAGATTACAAAGATTGTACTGTAATTTTCATTGTAAAATCAGTTTTGTGTAATAAACAGAAAATACTTTAATTATTTATGAGTCTGATTTTTATATTATCGTCTTTCTTAAACTCAAATGCTAAATCTGTGTATTCATTTCATCACGAGCACTTCAGAATAAGAAATTATTTAAGTTTAAAAAAAATTAAATTTTTTTTAATCTTAAAAATTTTCTATTACAAAATATAACAATATATATACAAGGTGACCCAAAAAGAACAGTTAACCCAGACCGTACTTTAAAAATACTTAACACGCATTTGTTCAAACCGATTTTATTATTTGTGCTTTAGTCTCTTACATGAAATGATTTTTGGGTCATATTGCATACATGTAAGGTATACATATACGTATAATAATTTTAAATAACCTGCTGTATGTCGTAGTGTAACACAGCACTCAAATACGTCGGTAATTCGGTTAGAAGCATAAGAAACCCCCATCCNTTATAAAAAATATTTATTATTAATTCGTATCTTTTTCTATTTGTTTAGATTATTCTTTATAAGACAAATTTACTTTCCTGCATTATTTTCAGCATTTAATACCGCTTCAAATAACAAATAAGTAGGATGTATTCAAAGCTGCCATCGAGTTAAAAATAACATTTTATAAATCATAGAGTGGTGTCTTTGAAAATTGATCATTGGCATTTTATAGAATATTACATTTCATTTATATATACAGTATATATATATTTCCCACGTTAAAATAATCTTAAATATTCGTAGAACCATCGGATTACTTTATCGTTATGTTGTAGCAACATCGTGTTCTTGCGAATTCTCTTTCGCCAATACTATTTATTTTCCAACGTAAACGATAAATAAATATTTTGTTATCGAACAGATAGCCTAAACAGTTATCACGCATCGGCCTTCTGTGTTTAGAAAAGAGAGATATAAAGTAGGTCCACAAAATATAAATATTAACATTCAAAGTTCATTGTTTGTTAAATCAAAATACTTTGTAATGAATTAAAATATTTTTTGTAAAAATCATCAAACTTTGAATAATGTCCGTTCTGTGATATTCTAGTCATATGTACTGTAGTAGTAAGGAGGTCGAAATCTACGTAATAATAATTATTTATCAGTTCGTATAATAAAATATTCTTTTTTGTTTTCTATTTTACAACGATTTATTTATTAATTAGAACATTTCAAATAGGATCGAATTGCATGTAAGCAAATAAATGTGATAAATATTACATTCATCTATTTGTTCTTACGTTATATAGTAAGACCCCGCTTAACGCGGGGGGTGCGTTCCTAGACGACAAAACGCTAAACGAAACAGCGTTAAACGAGGTCATTTTACTATGTTAAAATGAGTAAAAAGGGATAAAGTTAAAGATTAAGGGATAAAGTAAAAGTTAAGGGATAAAAAAAGAGATATATAATAAATAATAAAGAAGGGATAAAGTTAAAAGGGGATAGGGAAACACACGACCAAAAATATACAAATTTTACTTTAATTTTAAGTTATTTTTATATTAATTTGTATAATAATATATGTTAAATAACACATAAACATGCACACAGAAATGTAAAGTTCATTTTTTGTGACGAAGGTCCTGACTTTTCTGAAATTATCGTTCTTTTGCAATCAAGTCGTGAACTTTCATTTGTCACTTTTTTCTTTCCTTAAGCAAATGTCTCTAGCAGAAGAGCGCATCCAAAATGCCTCATTTTGCTTTTGCACTCCTTTCAAAATCTGGATCATTCGCTACAATTTGATCAACAGTTTCAGTTATCTTACCAAACTTTTACTAAGGAAATCCATAGAGAAGTTTTTTGGGTTCTTCGTTTTCAGAATCTCTATTTTGCAGTTCCAAATGAATTCCATGTTCTACCAGTTCTTAAAGGTAGTTGTTGGTAAGGCTCTCACCAGAAACCTGCGGTAACTCCTCAATATTCTGTTCGTCTGCATCTTCTAGTCCTGTTGTATCGATTAGGTTGAGTTTGGTCAACCTAACAATACAGCGATAGGCTCTTCTCGTTGAGAATTCTTGGATACCTTCAGCCATAACTTTTTCACACTTCGTTCGTGCATTTATCTCTTAATTCTTGCCAAGCGAAGCCGATATTTCGTATGACATCCATGATGTTATGTTTTTTCCAAAATTGCACTAAACAAACATAGATTTGAAGAAAGTACACTTTTTCCACCTTTTGCTGATTGGTTCGTGTTCGTGTATTATAAACGAATCAATGAATGCAGCGATAATTTAAATCGGCGTAAATTTTGAGCTTTTTTTTTAGGCTTTGAGCAAACCGCATTATATCGAAACAGCGTTAATCGAGGCAGCGTTAAGCGGGATCTTACTGTATTTTATATTGTATAAACAATAATCGCTATAATGTAGACCTGAACTATTTCAATCATGCAAGGAAAATTTCTATTTTTTTCAATAATAAGCACCTGAAAATTTTTACGAACCTTGCCACTAAAAAATATATTCTTCGTTTCTTAAGATATTAAAGTGTTGAATTTCTACAACGCTCATAATTTATTGTATAAATTATAAAATAAAATACAGTATATCACAATGCGCGCAATTGAAAAAATGTGAGACTATTTGGGTCACGTGTTTCTTATTTTTATTAAAGTAATAACATTTTAAAATAAAATTAAACCACATAACAATGCATTAATAAATGAGCAAATATTTCGATACTTTAGTTTATTAATTAAACATGAATTGCTAACTCGAGTGATTGCTAAATAACAAAGAAATTATCATCAAAGCAATTGTCACAGACCAGTTATTTTTTCTAACGGTTCTCATGCATTCCTTACATTTTTGACAACATAACCAGTGTCCTTTTTCATTGATGGTTTCAATTAATACCTCAAATTACGTAATTATGTAAGTAATCCGCACAACTCGACGTCAGAGGTGCGGAGTCGTTATCGGGATCGTTTGCAATAAGTGCAAGAATGATTTAATGGGGATTGTTCTTTGGTTCCTCGCTCTTCTGATGATGATTTTTTGTGATTTTTCGCCTTTAAACTTTATCTGCACTCTGCATTGATGAATGTTTTCTGGAATAGTGAGTATTCGCATATACTACCGTTTTCTGTAGATCTCGTTCTAGTATGTTTTAGAACAGAGAAGGTGCGATCTCCATTTTTTGAGAGAACAAATTAATTAGCTCAATTTCATGTTGGTCGCAAAATTTTGACTCAAATAGCCCGTTGACAAGTTTAACTGTGGAAATCGCAGTAAACAAGGCTGGAACGAGAGAATAACAAATACTGCAACTACCGGTCACCAAGTGGTCTTTCTACTTTTATACAAGTCAATAAACATTTTTGGCTACACGCACTCATATCATATATGCCTATAAATCACTTGGTCAAAGTTATAACATAGCTAAAATTGAAAGGAATACCTCATCATGGTATATTCAATGTGAAATTGCCTGTATCAAACAAACAACTTTGGAATCGAAATAAAATGAATTGGTTTCCACAATTGCTTGCCAACTACTGAATTCCTGCGAACATTACGTGTTCGTATCAGATGCGAAATGTTCGATTTTCTTATTTAGGTCCAAGTTGCTCCGGTCAACCCATTGTAATTTAAACTTTTCACGAGATTATATTGAAATATAACGCTCAACAAGTACCAGTGCAGATTCCTATTTTCTATTTTAGATTAAATTAATTATTTTAAAATTTTATGCATAAAATGCGTAATTTACATAATATGTTTGCAAGAAAGTAATAAATTGTCTTGAAGGATAATAAATAATTATTGACGATTCCATACCAAAATTTTAAAGGAAAATATCATAGGCCTGCAACCGGAGTTTCTTCAGTTGACGGTGTTCCGAAACGAATCGAATACTTGGTTCGGATGGTTCAAATAATCATAATATTTAATTAAATATAAAGAGGCAATAAGGCGATTCTCTATATCTGATATTTCGAATGTGGAAACATTGCGAGATTTCGTGCTTTAATATTTGACGTCCCTGTCAAGCATTCGAATTGACTTTGATTTATTTTAGAACAGGTCAACCGAAGGAGCTCCAGTTGTATACGAGCAAAAGTGCTTTGTAATGTATTATTTTATCTTTTAAACACAATGTTTTAATATCGTGATTATTAAACTGTGATTCTCCTCGAGATAAAAGAAAGTTAATTCGGTATAATAAGTAATATTCATATGATACAAATTATAATGTAAAGATATTACCTCCGAAAGCCCTTCCAAAATTCTTAACACGATCAGTGCTACGACATTCCATCTGGCAATGACGGGCGTCAAAACCGTAAAGAATGCCGTGAAGAAAACTCCTAAGCCAAAAATCAATTTGCCATCAAAATATTCAGCTAAACGTCCTCCCGGTAATTGGGTCAGAAAGAACCCGTAAAAGAAGGCTCCCAAGATCTGTCCTTGCACCGTCGTTGACCAATCAAATTCTCCTTCCTAAAAATGTATTTCAACATAAATAGATTCGAGTTGGAATTTACTTCAGTAAATTCGATATAAACAATGATAAAATGGAAATTTAAGAGTATTCGACCAAAATAAATAATCGATTTTATCTATTTTATCAATAAAACTTCCTGTCATAAAATAAATATAAATTTTTGTAACTTAAAAAAATACTTGCGAAATTATAAAAAAAACTATTTTCAAATTTATATTTTACAAGAAACGGTGAATATCGGACTATAAAATTGTTTAAGGATGCTACCTTTCATTTTTATCATCGGTTCTTTAATTGCCGACTTACCTGAACGTATTGTAATGTAGTATTATCGGTGGGATAAGGACAACTGGAATTTGTCACGTTGATCTCCGGTGTATTCTTTACCATGGCCACTAAAGCAACGCTTAAATTGACTCGTAAGCAGTAAATATTAAAATATCCCAAGAAACTCATTATACATAAAACAATACTCGATTTAAGTTTCGGAATAGCTGCAAAATAAAAATAGTAGTCGATTATTATATTAATTAAAATTTTTTACCGGTATTCAATAACTACAAGTACATTAGAAGTTGTAATTCAAATTAAAATCTACTTTAATCACTATCTTAAAAGCGTCACGAAATTTTTGTTACGAATAATCTATATTGGGAACGAACAAATATTTATTTGACATGGTCACAATGCCGGGTTGCTATGTTTAATCATATTTTTAATTGATTTCATTTAAAATATATGCTTTCCACCTCAAAGTAGTAATGACTTGCCCCCGTACATCATACTTTTCCTTTAACAATAGAGTCGTGCCGGTAATCTACCTAACACCTTAATTAATCGGCGACTCCTGCCGCTAAGTTTTCGATATCTATTCTCGGATTTCATCTACCTTTATCGAGACTAAAGACCGTTATTGAGATTAAGGAAGGAAAGACAGACAGACAGGCGGACAAGGACAGTGAGCATTTATAGGTCTACATTTTTTTTTTCAAATTGCAACTCAATAAAGCTTACAATAAGGGATGGAGCGAAGAGAGTATGCTCTTTAATCTAATAGGGCTAAAAAGTCTACTGCTTAGGTAAAAACATTATATCAATTGAAACGAAAATAAAAAACAGATTATTCATTGCAATTTCTTGTAATACAGTCGACCCCCCTATAACGTACGTTCCTATAACGACAATTCCTATAACGTAGCGAAAAAATTGTAGAAACTTTCGTATAACGTACCTCCTATAACGTCGTTTCGCGAGAAGATTGATAGAGTCTGGACCAATAGTGGATGAGCAGCCGAACTACTTACCTCCGACGCTGCGCCACGCTACGGAGCGGCTAAATTGAGTTTGCTATCGTCTGTTTAGTATTATATATAAATTATATATAAATTAGGTACTGTACATATAATTATATATTAATTATATATAAATTAGGTACTGTATATATAATTATATATTAACTTAATTTATTGTAACTTTATTATAATTATATATATGCTTTCTGCCGCCTGGCAACACGCTACGGAGATTTTAGGCTAGTAAGTTGAGTTTATTATCGTCTGTACAGTATGTAAATTAGGTACCGTAAGTCTAATACAGCACTAATTTTATACATTTCTTGTGAAAGAAACACTTCTTATTCAACGGCCATAAAAATTATTTATATTAATGATGTCTCCAAAGGTCAAGTTATCTTTCTGCGATAAATTATTTATCAGATATCGCGGCCGCCGTTTCGTGTGCTGTTCCGCGACGAAGACAAGCTTTGAACAACGGGCGTAGTCGAACGGTACACACTCGGTAAGTAATCCTATAATTTTTTGTTTATAGCATAGTTTATACGGATTACTCCCAAAAAATTATACGTGTTTTGGAAATGTTGAGTCGAATTAGTCTAGAATCGGTTAATTTTATAGAAGAAAACCTTTCGAACAGCCTTAGTCCGTAAAGTTCCCACCTATCGGGCTGCGATTGGCTCATGTATTTAATCGTTCCTACAACGTAATTTTCGGTTAGCGTGGAACGTATCTAAGCGTTATAGGGGGGTCTACTGTATTCATGCTGTATATCTTACGACTGCCTGATAATCATTCTTAGGCCTATATTTCAGAGTGGACTAAAAAGTATTTGATTCTTTTTATTATTTACCTGGTTTCTATTTTAACTTGGCGTTAGCTTTTTAGTAAAATATTTCAGAATTTCCAATGGAATACCGGACAAAACAAAAAAATGAAATAAACGTACGAATTCAATTTAAATTCTTTAAAACATTTAAAAGTCAGGATTTTTCTACGTTTCTTTTAATCGATTTTGAGCGAATTATACTTTATATAGTAATTAGTAATTCAAGTAAGCAATAAATTACTCACTGCATTGAGATAAGGATTAAAAAATAGTAAATAAATAACAAATTATTTTACTGTAGTCTATTATAAATTTTTGTCGGGAACTCATTTTTGTTAGAAAATTGTGATACAGTATTACCAAGTCGACATTCTTTCAGGAATTATATTATGAACATTAATTATAAAAGAAAGTAAAAGATAAGTTAGTAACTTAATTCATTTATATTAATCATTAAAAATTACCCAAGTTTATGTTGTTATAAGTTTGCTATGGCAAACATTTTTAATTAAACCGCAATTAATAATTTCTCATTTTATCTTCTGGCGGTGGAAATTGTTAAGATAGTGATTAGTCGTAAAAATGATCAAGGGAAAGTCCGTTCGTACTTTGGTTCTTCGTTTAAATTTGAAGGAAAAGTTGATCATTTCGTACGTGATGAAATAATCCTCCATCTCGTCCGTCCATTTCAATTGTAATAATTATAAAATTTCGTTTTTTGTAAGAAGTATTCACGTTTTGCTCTAGGATAATATACCGATCAAAATAATCCGTGCTATCGAAGGATCAGATCCCCCCTTATTATATAAAAAGCACGTCTCTCTATAATTCTATAGCACACTATGACTTGACAAAATCGAATTTCTTTTAATCTATCGAATATAGGAATTCAGTTCGTTTGATTTGATTAATTGATTGCTATATTACTGGAAAAATTAATAATTAATTTGTATTTAATTATCAAAATTTCTTGCATTGAAAATTGAATCTAAGATTTAAAACTGTGCTCTTGGAAATTAAACAGTCCAAAATTCTTGAAAATATAGCCTAGTATTTTTGCAGTACGCGACATTCATTACAAGATAAATTTTAAAATTATCTGTTTTATATTAAAATGATATAAAAAATGACAAATATTAATTTATACGCGAATTAAATAATTTAACCATCTCGTCGATAGTTTAACAATTAAACATTTTTTATATAACTGTAGAAGCATAGTTTGCCTATACATTAACCTAATGGTATATGAAAATATATAGAATGATGGGAGCATTTTATGACTGATAATTTAAATTGCAACTCTTATTCAATTTTCGTAATGAGCATATTATTAAATTATGTATTAAAACTTCTAAGAACAAAATTTATGCATATTTATAATCACTTTTGCGTTACGATCGATTTGCTGTTTAAAATCGATCGTCTTCGACAGTTTGTCTTATGGAGAGAGTATATTAATTTGTATTCAAAATTCCACAACAATATATTGTGATATAAAGCTCTGTAATGCCTAAATTATTAGTAAATTACGTATTCTTACTATAAATAAAATAAACTAATAAACTTACCGTTAAACTTGTTTGAATGAAGGAGATAGGACGTTTCGTCGACATAATCGGTTGTTTTCATCATCGTCAAGCAGCCAACCCTTTCTTTCCTCTATACTTTTTAATAGTTGTCAGCATCTGAGTTCTTAATCTACTCTTCGTAGACTTTGAATTCCTTCTTTAATCAATCATTAAATGTCTATTTTTTTTATTAAGGTCGTTAAAGATAACAAACCAAAGAGATAATATAAATATTTTTATTTCGGTCACTGCCAACCGTTTTATTATTAATTTATTATATAGAATTATCAAACTACTAAATTTGATTATAGTTTGATAAGTTAATAATGATAAATTTACATAATATCTCAGAGATAATATAATTTTAACTTATTGTTGTTTCTAAGGTGTAGAGAAACATGTAAAATCTTACAAGAAATAATAGATAACATTAATTCGGTTTTAATGAATATAAAAAGAGCCTGGTAGTAGTCGAAAATATAATTTAAAAATTCTAAAATATATGTCCTTTCATCAAATAATCTGTAATGTTTTTCATTTTCTTACTTTTAGATAGATTACATACATTTACATTATATATTTAATGAAAAAATTAATGATCGTTATTAAATTTATAATTATAAAATGTCACAAATAAATTATATAAATTGATTAAAAAATACGCATCGCTCCATTATGTGATACGGTTAATCTACAGGTTTTAAAGATAGAGTGAAAAAAATATTTAAAAAAAAACTTAATCTAGAATCATCCGATTTTTTAGGATAATGCATCAAATAAATGATAAATTCTCAGATAATTACATTTGATATTATTAAATAGTATACAGTAGAGCGTCGATTTTCCGAATCAATTGGGGACTGGGGCTGTTCGTATAACTGATATTTCGGATAACCGATTTATGTGCGAAAAAAATAGTTTAATGTATCCGATGTTGAAATTTTTCTCCGTTGCGTGTCGCTTCGCGTTGAATTTTCGTCGATGTTAAGCCTAAGTAAGACTATTGTATCGTTAAAAATTATTTTTTATTTTGTACAAACAAAATAAATATATTGAAAAATATAAAAACAATAAAAAATTATACTTCAGATGTTAATTTAGTATCAAAAACGTAAAATATTTGAGTAGCCCAACACATAGCCAAAGATTGAAGCGCCACAGCACTGGCGAAAATTTAAATTTGCCGACTGGAATTCTTTCGGATGATTGACGTTTCGAATGATTGACTTTCGGAAAATCGACGCTCTACTGTATTTTTTTTTCAATTCTGCACTATTTATAAAATTTCTTCTTAGAGTCAATATAGAACGGACAAAAACCAGTGAGACGTGAGATTACTTTACCGAAGGATAATTACAGTATATTCATTTCTATTCATTACTAAAATTAAAAATAAATAATTTTTGAATATTTATTTACGATCTAATTAATAATCAATCGATTGGCTAAAATCGTGATCCTTAAATAGGTTTGTTTTTATTTACACAATCTTCCTCTGTCTTTATGAAAGCGGATAATAATAAACACGTGTGAGAAAAACAAGTGAAAACTCTAAACATCTTAAAAAGCTTGGCATCTTTTAATAGTATAGCTCCTGCGTAAGACGTAAAGGAGAACTACTGAGTTATATAGAGAACTACTGAGTATAGCTCATGCGTAAGACGTAAAGGAGAACTAAGAGTAAGTACTGTACTGTACTTACTCTTGACTAATAACTATTAAAATTAATTTACTCTTACAAAAATTTTATTGCTTTATAAAATTGTTCTCCAAAAGATGAAAAAATGAAACAATTAAACAAATCTCAGAAACAAAAATTGTTCCTATTAACTCCTTTCTGTCCAAGATCTTGTTTCAAAGATAATATAGCCATAATCTCTTAACAAAATATTTTGTATTGCTTATACTGTATTATTTTGCATGATATTAACGAAGTGTTATAAATAATGAGATCAGAAAAATCTATATATATATATACAGTAAGACCTTTTTTAACGCGGGGGATGTGTTCCTAGACAACAAAGCGCTAAGCGAAACAGCGTTAAACGAGGTCATTTTAACATAGAGTAAATAGGGAAAGGAGAACACACGACCAAAAATAAACAGACTTTATTTTAATTTTAAGTTATTTTTATATTAATTTGCATAATAATATATGTTAAATAACACATAAACATATGCACACAGAAATGTAAAGTTTATTTTTGTGACGAAGGTCCTGGCTTTTCTGAAATTCTTCTTATTTGCGATAAAGTCGTATAGTTTCATTTGTTGCTTTTTTTCATGTCGCTAGCAGAAGATCGCATCCAAAACGAATCGTTTTTCTTTTGCACTCCTATCAAACTCTGGATCATTCGCTACAATATGATCAACGATTTCGGTTATCGTTACTAAACTTTTATTTACTAAGGAAATCTATAGAGAAATTCTTTAGGTTCGTTTTCAGAATCTCTGTTTTCCAGTTCTACAGGAAGTCCTTGTCTACAGAACTCTTATATAACCTGATCGTTAATATCTCCTGCTGTATCGATTAGGTTGACAATTTGGTCAACCTAACAATAGAGCGATAGGCTTTTCTCGTTGAGAATTTTTAGATAATTTCAGCAGTAACTTCTTCCACACTTCGTTCGTGCATTTATCAGTTAATTCTTGCCAAGCGAAGTCGATATTGCCTATAGTATCCATGATGTTATAATTTTACAAAATTGCACCAAACATAGATTTAGGTTATGACGAATTGCCATTTTTTGCTGATTGGTTCGTTTTCGCGAATAATCGTATTATAAACGAATAAATGAAATGCCGCGATAATTTGAATCAGTGTAAATTTTGAGCTGTTTTTAGGCTTCGAGCAGACCGCGTTATATTGAATCAGCGTTAATCGAGACAGCGTTAAGCGGGTCTTACTGTATAAAAATTTTTGTTGGTTTGTCTTTTATACAAATCTTTATTCTTAAAGCGATCTGGACCAAAGTTTGTAAGAGTATTAGTCCCTCACCACCCGGCTGCTCCATTGTGAAATAATGGAGCAGCCAAGCTTGCTAAAAGACGCCCTCGTAGTGCCCACAGGACGGAAAGAGGAAGAAAAAAAGGATCTATAGGATGGAATATCAGTAATGCCTTTGAGAAATTTAGATCACCAAAGTTATGCAATGGAACGAGAATAATCTTTTATCTTTGTCCCACAGACCGAATTTTTTGCTTTTTTGCAGTTTCGTTATTATAAATACTCGGTTCAATAAATGCATATTTATCTTAATTAATAGTTATAATATTACTTATAAAAGATAGCTACTTTTATCATTTAATACTAGACAAATAAACTAACTTTTTAAATAATTCATACTCACAACTTGTGCTTTATTTACATGTTATAATAGTAATTTATAATTAAATTATAAACTTACAGCACATCTATCACACTTTCTTCCAAGGTAATTAGGTTTGCAAATACACTGCCCTGTGGTTTGATCACACTCATCAAATTCAGAGCCATGCTGATTACAATCACATGCTATAAAAAATAAAATTAAAATAATTTATATATTTAATGATGATGATAATTTAATTATAATTTATTCAATCTAGAACAAGCTGTAAAGTCAATAACTGTACATTTCACATTTTACTTAATATATTTTTATTCAGACATCTCCAAAACTTCAATCAAAATCCAAATTATAAGAAAATTATAATTTATCAGAGTAAATTCCTTAACTCTCATCCAGGCATGGCAATTTTTGTAAAGTCATTTGGTGCATTGTATCAACTGGATACATAAAGCAAATTAATGAAATTCTTATATTTTTATTGATATATGCTTGACAATTATTATATCTTCTATTTCTACATTTTCTCTACTATCTAACAGTATAAAATACTTATGGGTTAAAAAATAAGATTTATATTTATATTTTCTGTACAGTAATTTGATCTGTAAATGCAAAAAACTAAACTTATTAAATATCATCTTACTATAAATAATTTCAACTTTCACTTATTTTATTAAATTTCACAGGATCTTATTATTTTTCAACTTCAGGGTAGTAAAGCTTTGTATATTTTCTCCCGCAAAAGTAATAGACTCTACTACTTCCCCACCATGAAGGACAACAAAGTGCTAATCATTTTATTACTTTTATTTTATTATTATTATTTTATTACATTGTTTTCAAAAACTCTGGTGTCTGTCAGTAGTGGGTTAAATGACTAACAAATATTTTTCTTGCACTCAGGGAAATGTTTTCTTTTAGATTTAACAACTAGTATTGCCAGTAATGCAGATTATAATTTTATTTTTAATAATTATAAAAATATTGATAAAATTATCAAATAAATGTTTGGGTCAGAATTACTAAATGGTATCGCTATGTAATAAACATAAATTTTAATTGTTGCAAAAGTGACAATATTAANATCCATTTTTCGAAATTTTATGAAAAAGGATGTACACATTTCCTTCCCACGGAGCCGTTTCCTATCTCTCGGGAACCCGAAAAATGAATCATGAGGAACTTATCCTAAAAATCAGCGATTGGCGAGAAATCATAACGTGACGAAGGGTATAAAGAGGGGTGACAAAGGAAAAAGGGGGTCGGTTCGTCATCACCGTTCGTGATAGGGAGCCCTCATCACCACCGATCCTCTAACCCGGCATCGCCTACCGTCTTCACCGACCGTTATCGCCGAGGACCCCTGCCGACCCTCATCGACGCCATTTGTGCTCCAAGACAACTTGTCCGATCCGTTTAGAAAACGTCCGACGCTCCGATCCCAAATCGTAGAGGTATGATATTCATTATTGTAAACTCTCTTTCGGCGCAGTACGCTCGCGATAACTCCTATGTAGCTTGATTACCTAAGTTATGTTCAATAAATTCTTGTTTTGTTGTTAACTGGTGTTTTTAATTCGAGTATCGCCAACGTCTTACCGACGACCCTCTTTACCTCCTCCACTCGACATGACAAAAGAATACCGACTTTGCTGGATATACGATCGTAAATAAGCCATTCACTGACCAGTGAGCAGTTTTCACCAAACTGTTGCCTATCGAAAAGAGGTACGACTTCGTCCTACCTCAGGCTACCCACATTAGAAATTGAAATGAAATAGATTCGTAAACTTATAAAATAGAAAAACGAACATCTCAAACATTAAATCTGCATACTCAACTGTTACAACTGCAACTAAAATAGCCTTTTCGCTCTGTGGGCACTACTGGGGCCACTGTAGTTCCCACAGGGCGGAAAAAACTTAAAGAAAGCCCGTCGTGTGTTCTTTCAGATGTCCGTCATTTTTCAGTCGGCCGAAAAATGACGAACTGATCCGACATCCGAGCTTGATCATTTGAGAAAATGTTTAGATATGTTCGGGAATCCTATTTTAATCCTTAAGAGCAATAGACCGACATCTTTACCGTCTCAATCGTTCGATCATTCTGGAAAATGATTTCGCCGATATACTCTGTGACGGAACATTTTTCCAGTTGGACTTTCGGGTTAAAAACGCAGAAATCGTCACAGTTACTTTGATTGGGATATGTCATGCCTCGTTCGTAGCGTCAGTAGGGATGAGCAGGCCTCTACTGACGCTACTGTGGAATTAGACGAACTCGGGATGTGCATAAATAAAAACTCTATTTGGTGACTACAAGCCGAAATGCGTTATTAAAAATGTTATTGAACCAAGAGAATAAGACTAATCTGTAAAGAGTAATTATTGTTTGCTGTCAGCAATAAGTTTTTTTTGAAACGTTCATATTTATTAGACGGTGAGCCGTTGTGAGTCATACGAGATATAAACATTTAAAAAATATATTCGAGACGAAAGTGGAAGGTCGTATGTATAGTGTAGTCAGATTACTTGAAGAAATTTTAGAAATTTGTGCAACTAAAAAATTAAACGCGAGCCAGGTTGGCAGCTTGGTGGTGAGGCGTATAGCATACCCTGCGTTTCTTTATGCAGCGAGAGTGTAGCAAAATGACGTCACGAGCAGTGTTGGCCAATTAAAAACCAGTTTCAGTGTGTTTGCTGTAAAGCGCTTCTCGAGCGCTGCATAAAGAAACGCGGGGATAGCGACAGGCGATAGTTTCAGTAATCTCAAAATAATTTGTGAAAACTAATTTTCCTCACTTGTTCTCGATTTAATCGAGGGTTTTAACATTTTAAGTAATATTTTATGCATTGCAAAATATTCTCTATCTTGATAAGAAATTTAAAAAATTTTTGGTTTTGGCTCTTAGTCGAATAATAAAGTTACGTATTTTGACTCTTCGACGAAGAGCCAAAATACGTAACTTTATTATTCGATTCTCGTACATACTTTTACATGCATTACATCCTGAAATCGAAAATTGTATATTATCTTGTGTGTATATATATATGTGAATTATATGAGTATTTTTCTACATTTTAATGTGGCAAAATTATGTCACATTAATAAATAAATCTAAACGAAAGTATGATGCTCGAAATAGTTATGACACGTGCCTGCCGCTCCGAAGGAGCCTGTGAAAAATTCTGCGGATCCTCAAAAATTTTCACGAATGGTCTGAATCCGACATGTCGATCCCTGTCCCTCACCACCCGAACTTTCATTGTGAACCTGTCCGAAACCATAACAGGCTTGCTGAAAAAGGCTCTCTTAGTGCCTACAGGGCGAGACAGTTAAAAAACAGTGCTCACGAGGTGAAAACAGTTCAAAAAATATAGTCATTTTTTAAATATAAACATCTTACTAAACCTGATACATTGCAATAACACTACTTCAACTGCCGTATATTATCAGGCTATAATTTGGCGATAATAATTATAAATTACTAATAAATTTGACCCTATAGAGAGACGTTAAGCGCCATCATGTATTAAATTTAATTAAATAATTTTAGATTAAACTGGAAGAAAAGTTAACCGGACCTCCGGTCCGATGTCTTCTTCCAGTACATTTAATATTACGATATAACCATCGTCAATCCAGTTTCTTCCAGTTTAATCAAAAATTATTTAATTAAAGTATAATTATTAAATTTAATACGAGATGGTGTCTAATGCCTCCCTCTAGAGTCAAATTTATTTGTAATTTATAATTATTATAGCTGTTAAATAGCCAACTCTTATACAGCATTTGTAGTAGATTTAATAAAAATAAGAACCATTCAACTATCCAGCAAAATTCTTTAATAATTTAAAAATGTTTTCAAATGGAGAAATAACTGACGCTGAATGCTTAATGTGTTTGAAAACGTTTTTAAATTATTAAAGAATTTTGCTGGATAGTTGAATGGTTCTTATTTTTATTGAATTTATACTCCAGTAAGCAAGTATACTAGTAGTAGATTTAATTCTGAACTATTGTATTTTCATCATAATTACTATATATTAAACATGGTGTATGTTTGATAAAGATCTTTATTATTATGCAAATTCATTACACAAAAACAAATAAAGTTTCCAGTAAAAGAAAGAATAACTCAGTTTTTTAGCACAAGTGTCTGTAACTGTATAGCAGCTTGCAAAATTAATATGGGTAACAATATAGGAAAAAGCAGTGTGTATTGTGGTTAACTAAAATTAAATTACTATAACTGTGCAAAGAAAGTATTGCAGGAAGTACAAAAAGACAGCACCCAGTATCCCTTCACTTCATGCTTGGATACAGAAATTAAAACATAGGAAGTGTTCAGAACACAAAAATTACAATTGCCCTTCAATAGCCAACTTAGAAAAGCATTCTGTAGGAGTCTATGGAATTCAGAAGTTTATTGAATGTATTCTAATAAATATACTTTTTGAGCTGTTCTTTCATTTATCATAAATCACATTTCAGTCTAAATTTTCTACCGTAAACTGGAATTTTTATAAATTACATATAAAAAACACACCTTTTCATACATTTTCAGCACTTTTTATAGTTTTAATGAACATTTTTGGCTTGAATTACAAGCCTTCTTTCAGAAGCCGTTCTAACACAGCATAACTCCTTCTAATTAGAACAGCTTCTAACCTGAAGAATGTTCTGAAATCAAGCTGAAAACATTTGTTAGAACTATAAAAAAGTGCTGGAAATGTATGAAAAGATGTATTTTTTATATATAATTTACATTTCAGTAGAGCACTTTTATTTTTGTGTTATGAATTTGTATAGTAATAAAGAACTTTCATGGACACACTACTGTATATTTGTTTAAAGACTACACAATATAAACTAAATATAATTTTTTTTTTTTTTTTTTGAAAATGTTGCTTAAGTATAAATATTTTCAATAAGTATTAATATACAGGTATACCTCGCCTTACGTCGGTAATTGGTTCCAGGAGAACGACTTAAGTCGAAAAACGACGTAAGTCGAATTTACTTGTCTCTGAATCTACTCGTCACTAGGCTAAACGATAAATTACCAATTCCCGTTCTGTATTTTATTTATTAATGCATTTTTAATAAATATATGGTTAATAAGGATCTATTTTAAGCTTACAAACAAATAAATTTTAGTTTTATTATAGTACAGAAAAAAGTAAATTTACGAATGCATGTACTGTAAATACAGTATATACTTGTAAATGTATATATTATAATATTACTTTATGTGCTTTAAACGTTTTTCTAGTGATATTACGACTTGAATATTTGTGACGGACAGACGTAAAGTCGAATAAAATGACTTAAACTTGATTTTTATTTTTCCATATACTTTTTTGACAAATGACGTATAATCGGGAACGACGTAACTCGAAACGACATAAGTCGAGGTATACCTGTATTATCTTTAATGAAACATTAAATTTTTTAAGTTAATTTAAGCATTGTTAAGCATTAGTAAAAATTAAATTTTTATCAATAAAGTCTTTTTAGGCTTCTTTGTAGGAATAAAACAATAAAATTTTTAACTTAGTATCTTCAAGAAGTATTCTCATCTTCAGAATCACTTGAATTTATTATTACTTGACTTCTACAAGGAGTCACTAAAAGTGCTTATGTATCCTACAAGAAAGTGTAAGAGATTTTATTGGTAAATTAATTTAAGGAGTTGTGTGTTTTTTAATATATTAAATTTTCATTGTATTATTTATTTCAGAATAATGAATCAACTGCAAGAATGCCCTGTCCACTAGATCGTAAACAGTTGAGTATATATTAAATAAAATAAATGAGTGATTCTAAAGTAACATCTTTATTTTACATCTTTTAGAAAAACATTCTTTAATTAAAAATGGCATTAACAACATATCTGTTTGTAGTATAATAATGAGTATTCTTAATACAATGATGATCATATTAGTAACATATGTGATTGTAATAGTATATAGGAAATTAAAACATTTATGTTTTATATGTTTGTTGTATATATTTCTTTTTTTAATTTCTTTTCAGCTTAAAATCTTTTTTACCATGGCATTGAAATTATCTTTAAGGTATATAAAAAACATTTATGCTTGGACTAAGTGGTTGAAAGTCCTTAGAAAAATTTAAATCATCAGTTATTTACATTTAAGGAAAATGAAATAATTATGCATAATATTAATATTAATATGGTACTGGACAAAATATTTTGAAATCCAGAATTGCCACAAAACTGTCTAATTTTGAATTTGACAGGATTTAGTATGGCTGTAATATGCCTTGTGTGGCTTTTCTTTGGTTTGTAGCATACACTTACCACAATGCCAGTTCCAGTGTGACTGCTAGCAGTCAATGTGTTAAACAGAGTTTTGTTCTTCAATTTCCATTGTTTATTTTATATTTTAAGTATATATATATAGCCATGACCAGAAAATGTAGAAATTCA